AAATAAGGACTGTAAAAATTTTGACAGAGAAGGCATGATAGGACGATATAAAAAAATTTTAATAGCCCGGGGTAGAAGGGGAGATACCACAACTGTTTATCACACGTTTCGTCAAAGGATCGGCTTCACTTGTCTCATTTACTAGCTGTACTATCCTGCTACGAATGGCGAGGCTCACTGACGATGCCGACTACGATACCGGCGAAACGTCTGGGAGTGTACTACGTCCACGGTCCTACTCTGGAAAGGATGATGCATACAATGGACTCCGGACTAGGTGCGTTCCTCTAAGTCTTCCTATTAATATGACCAAGTTGCGAAAACAAGGTCAAACAACTTCAGTAAAAGCTTGCCTTCAAATATACCAAATTTCGATATAAGATTCTCTTTAAAGGTGTGTAATTAGCAAACATATGATTTTAAATAACCATCGCCACGTTAACGAGTTATACATCGAAATTTAAAGTCTGCTAGCTAGTCTCATTAGACTAACATACTTAATATTCTTATTTAACTCAAAGGTAATTTTCTCTTTAAAACTTGATGTTATATTATTGGTTATAGTGTGCCATTTACAATCAATGAAATTAAGCCTTTAAACTTAATATTGTGATTGAAAGCTTGTCAATGATGAATCTGTCCTGACCTAAGAGAAAAAGGCCAAAGCTATTTTGATCTATCATGAAGCAGAGCCCCATTGTAAATTCGGAGAGTGAAGCTGCTTGTTAAAGGAATTGAATGAGCCTCATATTTGTTCTGAGGATGTTTAGAGATTCTAGGTAGATTTTGAATAATAAGGTGATATAAGGACTAATAATTTACTTTCTAACCATAAAATAGGTAGGACCAATAATGCCACTGGATTTCACTCAACCTTAAATCCCAAATGGGTTTTCACTTGCTGTCCAATGCAATGTTGACCTCGCATAGGTCGAATTAGCATCAAAAGCACCAGAGACTGGGTCATTTCCCGTTATCGTTTTGCTTCCCATTGGATTCCTTACATCATAAGTGGCATATGCTGACAAAACTTCTAACTCAATATCTAATAGTAGTCTTGAAGCAGTCGGCAAAATTATATGTAATTATGTAGATTGCATTGTGAATAATAATAGAACGTTATTAAGTTATGAAGATCAAGATGGTCGCAGTCTCCACTAGCTTCATAGCGTTGGTTGGACCTAGTTTTTGAAAATTGACCGGAGCATCAGGGAGACCTGGAACGTACCAAGAATGCGTTCTCTGTCATAGTATTCGGGATTTCCTTGGTTCGCTTGATTTGAAGACTTTACTGTCCTGTAACCAACTCACACCCGTGGCTATGTGGTGGAGTGTAAAAGTATCGCCACCTGCTCTTAGTGAATAAGTTGTTCTAAACTTCTAGTATAAATTTGAAAATATTTTGAAATATATTAGGAATAGTCATGACACTTATTCATTATGTAAATTTGCAATACCGTCAAGCGCTTTGAAGTAAGAAAGCCCGTTACAAAGTTATCTCATTTAAGATAAATACCGGGACTTTAAAATATTTAAAATGATATTTGGTCATCTATCGAAGTTATCAAGAATTATTTAGCTTATTATATTTCGTATTTAAGTATAGTTTCGAGACTACCAATAAATCTGTTATATGAGATGTATTCACCCTATTTCGTTTAAGGTGATAAAGTAATGGTAATAGAATTTTCCCACCATGATATAAGTTGAGCTGACGTTTCCATTGGATTTCACATAGCCTTGATTTCCGAAAAGCTTATTATGGCCGAGTAGTTCCTGCTACTCTATTAAGTGGAGACACAATAGTTGTATGAGCCCAAACGCCTTGCTAAGAATATGGATATTTCGGATGAGGGATTTGTTATAAATAACGTGTTAGAAATATATAAAACGCACTATGCTATTAATTGTTTAATTTTTTTGAAGTAAATAACTATTTTATATAAATAATCAATATATTCGTAATTTAATGATAAGATAAAAAAATATTGTATGCATAATTCACTTCGTAGATGCAAAATATCTGTAATATTAATCATACTTTTTACATAAGTTGCTCTTGCTATGTAAGCATAAATCAGCACTCATGATTATGTTTAAAATATGTTAAATGTATATTCGGCAGCAAAGCTTAATCAACTCACCGGTGATCTTAAATAAATGGATGGGTTGGCAAGACCACATTTTAGTTATCGCAAACACGACAACGTTTCCAAAAATGCAAAATTCAGTGGTAGAGTGATTTACTGTTTAGCATGTCATGTTTAGGATTAAAAATAATTTCCTGACTATACACACCATTCCCGCTAAACCGGTTCGCAAAATCTATAGAGGAAGTGCAGAAACTATGATAGTTTTTATGAAATATGTTATAAAAGAACTTTGGCTTTTAGTGAATCGTGAAAATAACCGGGATAAATATGACATCTTGGCATCTAACTTTATTCTAAGTAAATTACACTCTTGGTGGATTGGTTACGTATTCTTGACTAGAATCAAATATGTCTGCTTGCAATACAGTTTCTATGTGTTCTCTATTTAAAGGGGTTATTTGAGACATTTCAGTCTGATCTAGCCCAGAGGATTGTATAAAGTCTGGAGTCATAGATGCATTGATGACTTCTTGCGAATGGCTAAGCAACAACCCCTTTTGACTTGACTCACTGAAGGAAAGTTGATGAGATAGACCATAGTTGATACCGCTAGAGCTGTAGCACCTGTCACTGCTTTGAGATTGACCAGTATTAACTAGCATATGATCGGAGATCGCAGTTGCATTGCTAAGTATGTTAGTATGCGTTGCCCCAATTGGTACCATATAACCCGTATTTCTTTTATATTTGGATTTATTCATGGGTACTGCTGTATATGATACTACTGATCCTGCCGATGATAACGTTGGATCGGGTAATTCTTGGGATTTTTCGTCAATTAAAGTTTTCATCATCTTCTGAAATATGTCATTGGAAATTTCTTTCTCCTTTTCATTTAATCCGAGGGCCAGACGTCCAATATCACTTACTATCTCTTCTTCTATACCTCCGATTACACAGTCCTCTTCCATTTTTACAGTATTCTTGAAGCACTGATTGCCTGAGATGCTTGGGTGGTTGGCTGTGCCGTCTTCAGATACCTTTTCCAGATCGGCAACTGTACGATTTCTCAAGCTGCTATTTAGATCGTTGTAAGATTTGAAGTGTGGTCTGAGTGCCATGGCCAGACGGTCACAATTCACTGTAGGAGACTGACTATCTTTGTTGGCTTGTACTTCCTTCATAGTTATGTTTGCCTGGGTATCATCATACGATTGAACGAGTGTCTGAAAAATACCGTACATGATACAATTATAATAGATTAGGAAGTGCAATTTATGACCAACCATTTAAATATAATCAGAGCAAACCCTGAGACCTAGCGATGCTTGATCATTTTGCGCTATTTACATATTTATAACTTATGAAAATGCAAAGTTTAATGATATGTATAGATATAATGACTGTAATGAGAGAAGCAAAAATCAGGAAATGAATATTGCAATTTTATCGAAGTTTACTGAAGGCACTTAATAAAACACTTAAAAATCATTTTACCTTCTGGCCAAATTTATAGTTAATTGTGCCTAAATTTAGAACTTTAAACTATAAGCACCTTAAGATTTAAAAATACGTGTATAAAGAACTGATGATGCAAAAATATTCATGAACTCTTAACGGTGGCAAATATTTTAACTTAAGGGACTCATAGATTACCGAAACATAAAGCGTCCTAGTGTCCTTGAGCGAAATATCCCTCGTCAAGAGACTTTATACCAATTAAATCTGTATATTGTAAGATGTGGAAAGAAAAGACTTTATGTTGTAAAACAATTATGGAGAAACTTAGGTGTGTTCTGGAATTCAAGATATCTGAGACAAAACTAAAAAGCTCGAATTGGCCTGGATCACAACTAAACTTTCTATGATTATTGTAATATTTGGCATGAAAGTAATCGCCTCTTGTTAGTAGAACTCAAAGGTACTAGATACGAAGACCAAGATGTTGGGGCTCCAAGTTTGGTCGCAGCCTCCTTTCGACGTAGAGTCGTTGTTTGACCTTTTTTTCACAACTTGGTCATATTGGCAAGAAGACCTAGAAGAACACACCTTGTCCAGAAATCATAGTATGCATGATAACTTCCAGGGTCAAACCGTGAACTTGGTACATTTTCAGACGTTTCGCCGGAATCGTCACTGAATCTTGCCAATCGCAGCGCTAAACTACAACTCATCAGAGGCAAGTAAAGTCAATCTCTTGATCAACTTCTGTCGAAACGGTTTTGCTATCACTCCTAGTTCGCAATTTTATTGAAGTTTACTGGGGGCACTTAATAAAACACTTAAAAATCATTTTACCTTCTGGCCTAGCATGGCTCCTCTATCTATTTCCTACCCTCTTGTCTCGCCCTCGTCCTATCACAAGAGACGTGCCTTTTGGCGAATTTACCGTGGCGCATCATACCTGCTATTTGCCTTGCTCCCCTCCCTTTCTAGTGTCTGATCCGACTCTGTCCTCCTATTCGGATC